CAAACACCTAAATTTTTCCTACAAACAAAGCATGCTACTTCACTAAGGTTGTGTTTGATTGTAGTATAAATTCATTTGCACTAATATAAATATATGAAAGTGCAAATGTAAACAATGTAAATTTTTGTTTAATTTTATTTTAGATTTTATGAACCAGAGTATCAGAACATTATGTTTTGTTCATTTATTTCTCCTCCAAACAAAGCATACTGCTTCTATAACTATTTGAATAAAATTAATATGTACTTTATGTAGAACAATAGAAGTGGTTTGAATTGTTTTATTTATTAATGACATCGAATACTCTAATCTGGTCTGATCCAGATAATATTTGATTTGAATTCAAATATTAATAAATCAATTTTGGATATACCTTTATTAAATTTGATCCTATCGATTTGAAGTACTATTATCAACCTATCCACTTGTTCTATGGATCATATGCCAGACCAAACCGGATAATCGGGATGGTATTTTTTAACCCAAATCTGATTATTCCTAATTGCACTAGATCGGCTCTAGTTCTTAGGCACTGTGACTTGAGAGACTACTCGGTCGGCACTGACACAATCCTCAAGCTCATTGGGTTCTACAAAACATAAAGCAAGGGTCAGATCATTGAATTCCAAGCCATTAATATTTGGGATTGATAGATTTCAGATCAGATGATCCAAACAATGCTGCTTATGTCGAACCTGAACCCGGCTGGCTTGAGCACCGAGTCGTTGTGACCCGGGGTAGAGCCATATGGATTAGTGGATCTGCAATCCGGGGGAGCCTGTTTGGAAGGGATTGTGCGTTGGTTGAGTTTGAATTTACTAAGCCGTTTTGGAAAAGCTACCTAACATAGTTTCGCCGAAAGGTTAGTTTCGTGAGTATCATAGATGGTCCCAATGTGCCGCACTGGGTGAATGTGGCTAGTAATGTGTTTTGATCAACAGATTTTATTGGCTTTTCTAAACCTATTATCATGGTTTTTAAACCATCATTGATCTGGATGGTTGGATTGTTTGGCCTGCAAATTTTTATGTCACCCCTAAATTGTTTCTTTGCTAAAAAACCGTTGATTTGGTCAATGATCCGTTGATTCAGGTGATCGAACTATCTATCCGTTCAATCTGGACAACAGTTCTTGGCTTTTTTTTGTTTTGATTATTTTTATTTTTTAAATTACAACAAGCCATATGTTTAGACTGAATGGTCAAACCATTAACCCAAAAACTAGTGGCCAAAGTGGTTCTCGTTAATAATGGTTTTAAAACATTGCCTATTTCTGTTGTTGGTTTTTATCAAATGTGACTTCAGGGTGTTTCGGATCTATATCTATATATTAAACCAGAACCTATATCTATATATTACAAAGAGCACTTAACAATTATGAATTTTTTCTTTCCCATGCTTAATTATTTCCTATGCACACTTTCCCATCAACCCATCATCTAAACCTACCTAAATTTAAACCTAACCACAACAGTGAACATAAATCTATTTGCATTCTTAGAAAAACCCCGCCCACTTAGAAAAATTTATCGCACCTGTCCCATAAAATACTTAACCTACCCATAGAAAGATATCATCGTAGAACCTATTTTACTCACCAGGCAAAGAAGATTGAAAACGCTGGTTAGGGACTATATGGCATTTAAGATTAAAATCGTGTGACAAACACGGTTGGTTTATTAATTGTGTAAAAATAATTTAACATTTACAAATAGTTATTTTATTAATTATTAATCCTATAATCAATTAATCATTACTAATTATTATTACTAATAAATATTATAATTTATAATCTATTCGAAAATTGAAAATAATAAAAAATAGTAACATTTAATAATATTGATTTTGTTAAGGTTGAATTGTTTTTGCCTTCGGGTAGTGGGTCACTGGTTTGACCATTTGAGTCAAACAAGTCAGACAATGTTGCTTATGATCCAGACATTGAATTCCATGCCATTAATATCTGGGATTGATAGATTTCAGATCATATGATCCAGACAATGCTGCTTATGTCGAACCTGGCCCCACAAAGTGAACCAGATTGGCTTGAGAGGAGAGTCGTTGTGACCTAGGGTAGAGCCATATGGAGTACTGGATCTGCAATCTGGGGGAGCCTGTTTGGAAGGGATTGTGCATTGATTGAGTTTGAATTGACTGAGCCATTTAGGAAAAGCTACCTAACAAACTTTCACCGAAAGGTTAGTTTCGTGCGACAAACACGGTTGGTTTATTAATTGTGTAAAAATAATTTAATATTTACAAATATTTATATTATTAATCCTATAATCAAATAATCATTATTACTAATAAATATTATAACTTATAATCTATTCAAAAATTGAAAATAATAAAAGATAGTAACATTTAATAATATTGATTTTACTAAGGTTGAGTTGTTTTTGCCTTCTGGTAGTGGGTCACTGGTTTAACCCTTTAAGTCAAACAGGTGAAACCATAATAAAGCAGCATTTATGTATGTATGTATGTATGTATGTATGTATATGTATTATATCAATAAAAATAATGTGTATTATATTCTATACGTGTGAACATGTCTTGAAATAATGTACATTTATGTATGTTCTGACCAAGAGCACCTATATCAAGGCCAAAAGGGGTAAGGGGTGGGGGAGGGTTGGAATAAATAGCAACACAAGGCACTTTCTATACGTATGAACATGTCTTGAAAGATTACCCCAAATCATATAAATGTTACTTTAATTAGGCAACTGAATGCAAAATTATCACCTTTAGAAATTTGCTTATACATTTAGGGTGCAACCCGTAACCAAATGATTGGGTTGAATGGGCCAATGGTTTAATTGCCTAGATTGAACAATTTTTTATCAAACCCTCGGTTTGAGGAAAACTATACCCAAAATCATGGTCAGGTGATGGTTTGAACAATTCGACCATCAAACTAGGCAAGGATCAAAACACTTACTTGAAATCCATTTAAATTTCACTTAAAAGTAATTATAAATTTATGTTAATATTTTTCACTAATTTTAAAATTCATTTATTTTCTATTTAAATATAATACAAGTTAATAAAATTAATAAAGAAAATGAATAGAAAATAATATCATACTTGACCACTCATTAAGGATGCAACTTGTGTTGTGAAGATAGCGTGCAATAATTTGGCGGCTTAACAAAGCAAGGGTCCCGACTAGCTTTTATTAAACTCGATGTGGGGGATTCTCTGAGTTCCTCAGCTCACTCATGAAACGTCAGGAGCCGCTGTGTGAAAGCCATCTCATTCTCTCAAACGAGTTCGGATCCGCTCCTGAAAAAGCGCGCCTCATTCCGACCTCACAGAACGTATCATCCGTGTACATGGAATATCTGCACTTATAATATGGGAAGATGCTCTATATGCACGGCAATAACGTGCTGTGAGGTCGGTGTGAAGCCTGCTCTGTGAAGAATAGATCTTATCACCTCTCACACCTGGTGCCTCACAGGTGACTTACACGCACATCTTATCATGCATTTGGAACAATCTCCCGTACTTATTGTTATTAGTTATAATTCATGGGAAATATTCCCAATACACGGTGGATGTGCCTGTGAGACGCCCATTCATGAAAAGCAATTCCATCACCTCTCAAAACAAGAGACGAGATCTACTCCTCACACTTGGGCGCCTCATATGCACATCCACCGTGCATTGAGAACATTTCCCATGAATAATAACTTAAAATTACGGAAAATGTTCCCAATACATGATAGGATGTGCGTGTGAGGCGCCTCGAGTGTGAAGCAAATCCAGTCTCCTCAAACAAGTACCCAAAGCTGGAGCCTCAAACAAGTACCAAAAGTTGGAGGAGAAATACCGGTAGGGCTATTCACGAGTCGGGTTGGGTTGGTTTATTGGTGTTTTTCCAACCGATCCGACCTGGTCTTTTTACCTATAAATGAAACCGAAACCGACCAATACTAAGTAAAACCAACCTGGTCGATTTGAGTTAGTTTGGATCGGTTTTGTGAATGATTCTCCTGGTGTGAATGGTAAAGATTCAAGTCTAAGAAACGAAGGCTGGATGCCTAGAAATTAAAAATGATTTGATGGATTAAAGCTGAAATTTTATATATCATAAATTTTATATATAATATGTATATTTCACAGGAAATGTTCCCAATACACAGTGGATGTGCTTGTGAGACGCCCATTCATGAAAAGCAATCCCATCACCTCTCAAACAAGAGACGTGATTTGCTCCTCACACTTGGGCGCCTCATATGCACATCCACTGTTCATTGAGAACATTTCCCATGAATAATAACTTAAAAGTACGGAAAATGTTCCCAATACATGATAGGATGTGCGTGTGAGGCGCCCTGAGTGAGGAGTAGATATAGTCTCCTCAAACAAGTACCAAAAGCTGGAGGAGAAATACCGGTAGGTCTGTTCACGGGTCGGTTGGGTTGGTTTATTGGCGTTTTTCCAATCGATTCGACCTGGTCGGTTTACCTAGAAATGAAATCGAAACCGACTCAATACTAAGTAAAACCGACCTGGTCAGTTTGAGTCGGTTTGGATCGGTTTTGTTAATGTTTCTCCCGGTGTGAACAGTAAAGATTCAAGTCTAAGAAGCAAAGGCTGGATGCCTGAAAATTAAAAATGATTTGATGGATTAAAGCTGAAATTTTATATATAATATGTATATTTCCGAAATAAAGCTGAAACATTCCACAAATATATATATATATATCTGAAATATATATATATATATATATATATTAAAACTGAAATATATCAGATATATATAATATATCTAAGTCGGTTCGGTTTCAGCTTTCACATACAAAAATCGAAACTGAACCGAACCATCGGTTTATGTTTTTCTGTAACCTAAAACCGACCGATGCTGAAGAAAAACCGGCCAACTCAGGACCGGGTTGGTCGGTTTGGGTCTTGCTATGAACAACCCTAAATACCGAAGCCGATTGACAGCACTACCCTTTTGTAAAGTCGGGTGGATTTCTCATTTTGTCATTTTCGAATACTGCAACTGTTTGTTTTGTAACGGAGAAAATGTCTCTAGAATAAAATAGCACTGTGTTGTTCTTCATATAAACTGTTCGGACCTAGGGTTAGGGTTTTAGAGAGTTGAAAGAAGAGGAAGATCGATGGCTACCAGGGTTGCTCTGAAAGCGAATGGCAAGAAGGGCTCAAAGACCTCGGAGGAGCGATCGACGGTCAAGTGCTTGAAGGAATGGAGCACTTGGATGATGAAGAAGGCCAAGGTCATAACTCACTATGGTTTCATCCCCCTTGTGATCATCATTGGCGTGAACTTGAAGCGAAAACCAACGCTCTCTCAGCTCCTCACCCCCTTTTGAGCCGAAATCTTGGATGCCCAGATCGCGGAATAGGTTCAATGCGGTGATTTCTCTGTTGTTTCTCGTCGATGGGTCGACCCCTATTCATCGAATATAAATTAAGAATAACAACCAAGTTTTAGAAGTTGTAAGTATATATTTCAATCATAATTTAGAGTTGTATTATTTTGTTATACAAGTATGACCAAGTTCTTGATGGAATCTGGATTATTATGCTTGTTGAAAATTCATAATTTTAGGAAATTTCTGACTGCATAAACATGAAATTGGAGTAAGAGAACTATTATTTAACATCAGGGTTTTCCTTGAGATATTTTCTGAGATGGCCTCTTGTCAGTGTGCTAGATCAGTCCACTTCAATGAGAAAAAGAAAGTTTTCATTTGAATGCAAGGTAGTCAAGATATGTCTAAAGTGAAACAATTATTTGTGGACATGAAGTTGTCCCCATATCTGTCTACTGTGCTCAATACTAAGCCTTGGTGGTTATTGCATGAAACTTTCATGAAAGCTAGGTTTAGCAACTTCATGTAACATTCAAGAACAGAACGCTCAAACTTTTCCCAAGTAGAAGTGGAATTTTATCCAAGTGTTATGGTGTCACCTCCAAAATCCATGAAACCAGAAGACAAAAGGGAGATAAATGAAACAACATGGGCAAAAAATGAGTGTGGCAGAAATGCTTATGCTAAGATGGATGAATGGAAAGACTAGAAAGGGTAGGGTCTTATTGGAATGAACCTAGGAGTAGCTCCAATAGGTGACAAAATGAGAGAAACCACCAACAACACCCATAATAAGAAGTGACCACCGACCTGTCCCCACCTTATAGCCAAGATACCCTACCCCTCCTTGAAAACCCACTGAAATCTGCACTGTTCATTTCCAGGATCTGGTCAACAAATTTAAGAAGCATGTTACCTGCCAATTTCTTGTGTTTTTTCTTTTATAAGTAGTTGATTTCTTACTTCAAGCAGACCATCTCAAGCTGGAATTAATGGAAAAATTAGGTTCGGTTATTTTCCAACCTGATCAGCCCAACTAAGATTCAAATAGGATTACATTTTGCTGTAATCATAATTAAAAACATCCATGGAAAAGCACTATATATCAACATTTATGAAACAGTTCTACCTAATAGATTTTTATAAAATAATTAAGACAAGAAAGCAAAAAAAGAGGCTTTCCTTGTATTGGTATATTTGGTCAGCATTGTGAATCTCAAATTGGATAGTTGTAGAATTGGATCCCGCGTGCAAGTTTTATTTCCCCACTCACCAAATAAAAAAATCTGACGTTTGGAGTTAATACTGTGCCATCGGATTGGTTAGGGTGTATCTGCAAGTTAATACTGAACGGGAAACTTAAACCAAAACAAAATAGAAAATGAACTGATCATCCCATGATGAAATCTGCTTAGTTCACATCTAGCTTTTGGCTTGCCTATAGTTCAAACACCATTTAGGCACAACATCAATTAGCTTCACTTACCAATCACCATTTATTTTCATCTCATTTCAGAAGCAAGAATAATTTGCATTCAAAATCCATTGTCTGCTTTGAAACTGCTCTGCTCTCCTCCACCCTCCACCCACACATACTCACCTTAAGTGTTTAGGTTTTACCTCATTCAATTTGCAATTGTTCTGCAATTAATGTTAGATGCCCCTTGTTTGACAGGTACAACGTTCATAGCTACAATTGATATATTATCCTTATTGATTTATGATGAGCGAAGGAAGCCCCTCTTCATTCTATTTTTCAAATTAGTTAGCATCCCACCTTTTTCATTGGGTGAACCAGGTTTTGTTTGGACTTCAGATTTATGTGTCAAAGTTGGTATGATCACAACCTAGACCTAACCCAACCTATCACCATTCCTAGGCTGAATTAGTTTCATTTTACATACTATTAGTATGTATAGGAAACCAAGACAGAAGACAGTTGAACTATGTATAATTCCAACATTAGAATTTTTTTGACTGGATTTTGCCTTCTGCGGGTGGGAATCGCATGAAAAGATTGAATCAAGTTAACACATTTTCCTTCCATGGCCATTTGTAAAACATAGTTGGAACCTTGTGCAACTGTTGTTTTCCCCCATAATCCACTACGAGTAAGAATCCAGAACATTGCTTTCATCCTATAGAAATTTCTAACAACATTGTTTTCTCTATTCTTGTTTATAATAAAAATTGTTTTTGACAACTGAACTTGGATCCTGTGTGAGGTTTTTACACGAGGTTAATTTAGATGTAAGTACGCTTCCTTAGGTTCTGTGTGTTTGTCTTGGTTGAGAAAAACACAAAAACAGAACGCTTTTTTTTGTTGATTAGTGCAGAAACAGAAAATTGATGGAATTGTTCTTAAGGAACATGACAAAATTTGTTAAGAACTTCCCCCTCAACTTTCTGTCTCTGTGTATCTAACTAAACATAGCCTTACAGTCAGCATAAAAAATGAAGGAAGAAGGCACAMAAATTTTTACGTGGTTCACTTCCATAAAAGGAAGCTACGTCCACGGAAGGGTGTAAGGGTTGCTTTCATTACTCAGAAAAGTAGATATTGTAGTACACAATAGTAGGATGAGACAAACATACTATCTTCTTCTCCTCCTCCTCATCCTCCTCTTTTTTCTTACTCATCTCTCCCTTTCTCCAGCTTTCAAATTTAACCACTCCAAATTGTGTCTCCTGTGGCCAATGATACTGAGGTAAAAATGTGGGAATGGGACCATTGTACAAATTCCAGTTTTGTAGGTATCTGTCATCCCATATCTGATTTATTGMTGGCTGTGGTTGTAGACATTGTGGTAGCTGTTGTTGCTGCTGCTGCTGTTGTTATTCAACACCAAATACCCAAGACTCACATAACATGAATCACATCATACCGAAGATTCACATGATTATTTGCTTGTTGACTTGCCTGCAGTGTTATCTCCATGGGCTGTGGTTGTGGTAGTAGTGGTTGTTGCTGCTGGTAGAAAATCCCATCAGAGTAGRTATGCTGCAGCATAAGAACTGCACTGTCCTCTTGTTGTGGCTGTGGTAGTTGCTGCTGCTGTTCTTTAATGCCCCCACTAGGTTGAACTGTATGAACTTCTGSAGAATAGCTATGATTTGTTTCAATCATTTCCAACAGTTCGTTCATTTCCGCCTCTTCATCATTCAC